ATCACAGAGAATTATAGAATTAGGAGAGCTTTGTGACATGTTAGTGAGGGGTGGGAGTTTTAAGAAAGACACAGTGTAAGGGTTAAAGGATTGAGGGACAATAAAAACAGTAGCAGTGTTCATGGTCTCATTTAATCCTCACATATAGCAATGAGTCAGGTAGATGGTATTATTACTCGAGTATTTTACAGAACGGGACATTAACCCAGACAATGACTCCAAAGTTGCATGACATAACTTTGGGAGATCAGAATTCTGATGCTATTTCGCTATTTTTTACACTAACTTAGCTATATGTCTGTATGGCAAGTAACTGCCTTTTAAGGCTTCATTTCCTTCCTGGCATATTGAAAGGATTGGTGTAGATCATCTTCAGTTCTTTGCAATGTGAGTCTTGGRTTAAGACAGAATGAAAGAAGTTCATACACAAGAGAGAGACCATGAATTAAAAATCTAGCCCACATTCAGAAAAATATGCTACTTTTTTTTTGTTGGGGGGGGGGGACGACAGGTACTAGGGATTGAACACAGGTGCACTTAACCATTGAGCCACACCCCCAGCCCTTTTTATTTTTTATTTTCAGATAGGGTCTTCCTAAAATTGCTTAGGGCCTTGATACGTTGCTGAGGCTGGCTTTGAACTCACAATCCTCTTGCCCTAGCCTCCAAGCCTCTGGAATTATGGGTATAAACCATGGGGCCCAACATTATGCTACATTTCTTTTAAGAGATCAGTGACGGGCTGGGGATGTAGCTCAGTGGTAGAGCRCTTGTCCAGCATGCATAAACTCTGAGTTCAATTCCCAGTACCTGCCCCCACCCACTAAAAAAAGAAAGGAGGTTTATCAAACTGGGTTCAGGAAGCTGAAGCAGGAGGACTTCGAATTCAAGTCCAACCTGGAAAACTTAGCAAGACCCTGTCTCAAGAAAAAAAAATCCAGAGAACAGGGGAGCTGGTAGTGAAGGCTAGAAGGTATTAGGCCTTGGGTGCATCCCCAGATCCATAAGAAGAGATATAAGAAGGGGCTGGGTTTGTGGCTCAGTGGCAGAGACTTGCCTAGCATGGGCAGGACCCGTGTTCCATCCTCAGAACCACATAAAATAAAGACATTGTTTTGTGTCCATCTACACTTTAAAAAGAGATATAAGACATTAGTCAAGATAAATTATCCTTAAAACATTTTTTAACAATAAAATCAGCTTAGATTTTATTGTTAAATAAATCTGAATGATAAATATTCTAAGTTTTTTCTTCTTTTTTTGAGACAAAGTCTTGCCTAGTCTGTCTCAAACTTCCTGCCTCCACTGCCTGAGTAGCTGAGACTACAAGCATGCACCATCCCCCTGCTAGAATGCTGAATGTCTGATCCAGTGTATTTCCAAGCAATAAATTCATTTATATCTATAGTTACAAAAAAGTTGTGTATGTGTGTGAGGTGTAATATTTAAGTGAGGTATAATAACAAGAATTATAAATTTTCATTTGTGGGTTGAAAATGCTGCAGCATGTCCTTAGCATACTCAAGACCTTGGGTTCAATCCCCAGCACCAAAAATTTATTTATATATATCTTTCTATATATATTTTCCCACATACCTGGAAATTTATGAATGCTGTTGTTGAACCCTGTTAAATCAGTCGAATGAAGTAAAAAAAGTAAAGATTCCAAGTGAAACAAAGTCTGTATGTGGAGAACTGTCCTGTAGAGAGAGAAAAGAGCTAGTTATAATGTACTTTTATAATAAGAGAAACATCTATTAAAATACATGTTTTTTAAATAAATTATATGGGAGCATCTATGAGATATCATTTTTCAGCATGTAAAAATAGATAATCTGGCATAGATTATTATTGGAAAATCATTTGGTCATCAATTTGTTCATTGAGATTAAACATATATATGTATGTGTATATTTAACCTCAATATTGAAGTGTACAAAAGAGATATATACAATATTGAATAAATTATGACAAATTGAAAGCAAACACTTTTTTTCTTTTTTTTTAGTTGTCGATGGACACAAAACTTCGTTTTATTTATTTATTTACTTACTTATTTATTTTATGTGGTGCTGAGGATCGAACCCAGTGCCTMCTGCATGCAAGTCAAGCACTCAACCACTGGGCTACAAACCCAGCCCCTAAAGCAAACACACTTTTTAACTTTTACAATAAAATAAACTTTTTAAGATGACAGACTTTTCAAAGGCAGGACAGCAGACACCACCAAAACAAAACATAAGTCCTCTTGCCCTTTTCCTTCAAGTGGCATCAGCATGATTTACAAGAGAACAGAATACAATAGCTTTAAGGATTCAACTTGAAAAATTCAACATATCTTAAAAGCAGTATAATTCTGAGGGAAGTAGGAAAAAAAAGTTCTATTGTATATGGTTCAGAATGTCTACTAGTCACTCAGATCTTTCATATAACTCTTTTAATTTGCCARACTGTACCAGAGTGTACCACGTTTTGCAACTACAGATATGATAAGTAATGTTGTTTTAGAAAGCAGTTTCACCCAGGAAGGAGTTGTACACACCTGTAATCCCAGTGATTCCAGAGGCTGAGGCAGGAGGGCTGTAAATTTGAGGCCAGCCTGGGCAAATAAGCAAGGTTCTGTCTCAAAATAAAATAAAAAAGGATAGGGTATAGCTGAGTGGTAGAGCTCCCCAGGGTTCTATCCAAACCTTTCCATAACAAAGAAAAAACATTCTACTTTTTGCATGGATCATTATGGTTTTGTTAATGTAGAGTTCTTTATTTCCATAAGCACTGGAAAAATGAATTTGATGTAAACCAATTATTAAGCTAAGAATTCTCACCAAATAATGTTGACTGAATTCATGGAATCACCTTTTTTGTTGTTTTTTGGTGGTAGGGAATGAACCCATGGTGTTATACCAGTGAAAAACATCCTCTCCCTTTTTAAATTTTGAGACAGGATCTCACCAAGTTTCTGGGTTGGCCTCAAACTTAAGGGTCCTCCTGCCTTCGCCTCCTGAGTCACTGGGATTACAGGTATCACTTTTTTTTTTTTTTTTAAATACTTTTATTTAGTTGTAGTTGAACAAAATACCTTTATTTTATTTATTTTTTTAATGTGGTGCTGAGGACCAAACTCAGCACCTCACACATGCTAGGCAAGTGCTCTACTGCTGAGCCACAACCCCCAGCCCCCAGGTATCACTTTTTATAATAATTTTTTCAAATTACAAAAATATTATGTGCTTATAAAAATACAGTCAAGTATTTAAAAAGCCAGTTGAAAATTTAAAATTTTTTGAAATTTTTAAATAAACAATTTATTTTTATTTTATTTTATTTTGGTACCAGAGATTGAATCCAGGGGTGCTTAACCACTGTGCCACATCCCTCAGCCCTGTTTTTTATTTTGGGACAGGGTCTCACTAAGTTGCATAGGGCTTCACTAAGTTGCTTAGGGCCTTGCTAAATTGCTGAGGCTGGCTTTGAATTTGCAATTTTCCTGTGTCAGTTTGCTAAGCCCCTGGAATTACAAGCATGTGCCACTGTATCTGGTTGAAATAAACAATTTATAATGATAATTTAAAAATAATTTTACAAATAATTTATTACTTTATAATTTATAATTAGTTATAATTATTATTTATGGGGTATAAACTGATGTTATGTTTTTTGCAATCACAGTTGTAACAAGTATTGTTATTTCAAAAAGCAGTTTCAGKGCCAGGGTTGTGGCTCAGTGGAAGAGTGCTTGCCTAGCATGTGTGAGGCACTGGGTTCAATTCTCAGCACCACATACAAACAAACAAATAAATAAAGGTCCATCAATAACTAAAAAATAAAATAAAATGAAATAAAATAAAAAGGAGTTTCAGCTAGGAAGGAGTTGTGGTGCATGCCTGTAATCCCAGTGACTGGGAAGGATGAGGCAGGAAGGATGAGGCTAGTCCTGAACTTACAATCTTCTTGTCTCAGTCTCCCTGATTGCTGGGATTCCAGAGGTGCATCACCATGCCCCACAGAATCTGCCCCCCCTCTTTTTTTTAGTACCAAGGATTGAACTCAGGAGCAACTGAACCACATCCCCAGCCCTTTTTTGTATTTTATTTAGAGACAGGGTCTCACTAAGTTGCTTAGGACCTCACTAAATTGCTGAGGCTGGCTTTGAATTTACAATCCTCCTGCCTCAGCCTCTTGAGCCACTGAGATTACAGGTGTGCACCACCATGTCCAGCCATTTCCCTCTTTTCAAAGGCTAAATAATATTTCATTGTGTACTCAATATCACACGTTCTTTATCCATTCAACTTTGATGGGCACTCAGGCCAACATGGGAATGCATGAAATGACTTTTAATTGAGATCCTGAAAATACCACCAGAGAAAAGTAGAACTATTCAAATATTTTTTCATCTACTTTCTCTAATAAAAACAAAGACACCAATTACCTATTCCTGAGGGAGTCTGAATTCTGGCAACTCAAAACTGTTCAAAACACTGCTGACACAGAGGTTTGGGAAACAATTTCTAAGTATCAACCAATAGAGAAAGTAGACAAGATGATCAGAGCATTCCATAAAACGTAATGGGATTTCTTCTTGGATTGGCAAAGGTTATTAGAGGAAAACAAACTAACAAAAACTCCATCGATGTCTCTACAGCTGGGAATAATATGAGAAACAAAATGAATCTTTTTAAAAATTTAGTGCTGGGGCCGGACTCAGTGCTCGAACCCAGTACCTGCTAGGCAAGCACTATGACACAGAGCTACATTCCAGCCCCCAAGAGAACTTTAAATAAAAAGTCAAAAACAGAGGGCTGGGGATATAGCTCAGTTGGTAGAGTGCTTGCCTCACAGCACAAGGCCCTGGGTTCAATCTCCAACACCCTCACGAAAGGGTTGAAGGGGCTGAGGTTGTGCCTTAGAGGTAGAGCACTGGCCTAGCACACGTGAGGCCTAACTAGGTTCCATCCTCAACACCACATAAATATAAAATAAAGATATTGTGTCAACCTATCACTAAAAAATAAATATTAAAAAAAAAGGGTTGAGAGGGCTGGGGTTGTGGCTGAGTAGTAAGTAGAGTACTTGCTTAGTGTGAGGCACTGGGTTCGATCCTCAGAACACATAAAATAAATAAAGTTAAAAAAAAAAAGCAGGCTGAGAGCAAAAGGTGACAGAGGTGAGAAGCAACAAACCTCGGACATGGATTATCTACTGTGACATCAAGGTACAATAAGAAATAGAATTGGCTGTGAAAGGGATTTTAGGAAGYGCCAACAATTAAAACAGCAGGATTCAATTTAAGGATAAACTAGGATTCTGTGGTTGCGGGGAACAAAATTAATGTGTTTTTTTGGTGGTTGTTGTTCTGGGTTTTTGTTTTGGTTCCAGGGATTGAACCCAGGTGTCCTTAACCACCAAGCCACATTCCCAGCCCTTTTAATATTTTATTAGAGACAGGGTCTGAGTTGCTTAGGGCCTTGTTAAGATGCTGAGGCTGGGTTTGAACTCATGATTCTCCAGCCTCAGCTTCCCTAGTAGCTGGGATTACAGGTCACACCTTGCCCTGCTAAAAGTTCATCTTCCTAATGAGGCAAGAGGGCACTCAGAGAATGGTGTTACTTTGACAGCTCCACAACTTTGACAGTGTCACTTAAGAGCATATTAACTAGTTCGGTACTGGGTCTGCATGGTGGCCAGCAAAAACTAATTCTGTACCTTTTTAAGAGAACTGGTTGGGATTATGCATGCTAGGCCCTGGGCTCAATCCCCAGCACGGGATGGTGGGGTACAAAACTGGTTGTTGAACATTGTCTGTGCCCTTGACAGCTTTTACATGCTGGTGAAATTTCATTTTTAGGAATAATCACCAAGTTCTGCCCTGGAGGACATCACACTACATCCTTTCTAATTTCCTATGGAAAGCTAAAAAGTACATTTCCCAGACTCCTTTGCAGTTAAGTTTTCCCATGTGAAATGGGGCCCATCAAGAAGAGTTATTCTGTTGCGATTTAGAAGACAAAAAAACTAGGCAGGAACCATCTTTCCACAGTTGGGGCTGTCAATACCAGCAAGCACATTTATGGAAATTTCCTTGTCAAGAATTCCTTAGTTGTGAGGAGACAACTGTGATGAAGATGGCAATCACTATTTGGTGGGTATTGAGGGGCAGCTGAGCAGTAGTAGCTGATCCTCAACTGTTAGCAATGTCACTGACAGCATCCTGATTCCCTCCCTGGTGGGCCCATTAGGCAGTCTTGTAATGGGATCATTTCTGAAGGCTTAACCTGGAGCCCCCTCCACACCAGGTCTTCTGATGATGTTATAAGCATCTAATTCTCTTTATCAAGTCCTCTTCTACTTAAGATACTAGAGTGGTTTCTGTTTTCTGCAGCTAGATCTAGCATTACATTGGTATATCATCTACCTCAAAATTTAAGCAGCGGGGTGAGCGGTGTCTGTGAGCTACCTGTCAGGTAGCATACTCTGAGGTACACTTGGAATGAGACTGCCTGTGTACAGATTCTGGCTCTCTAACCACTAAAGGGGTGACCTGGAAGTTAGCTTTCCTGTGCCTTAGTTTCTTCATCTGTAAAATGGGGACAACTCAGAGATCTGTGAGACAGAGTAAATAAGAAGATAATCTAAATATAGTGCTTACAACAGTGCCCTGTTTATAATAAGCCCTAAACAAATGTTGGCTATTATCATCAGCATTATTATTATTAAATAAGCAAGCCACTTTATTTATTTATTTATATTTTTGAAGAGAGAGTGAGAGAGGAGAGAGAGAGAGAGAGAAAGAATTTTTAATATTTATTTTTTAGTTCTCGGCGGACACAACATCTTTGTTGGTATGTGGTGCTGAGGATCGAACCCGGGTCGCACGCATACCAGGCGAGCGCGCTACCGCTTGAGCCACATCCCCAGCCCTAAGCAAGCCACTTTAAAACACTGCTTTTAGTTGGTAGAAAAGGCAAGCATTTTAGCATTTAATCACCACAAATTCCTTTTAGCTTTCAGAATGCTAATTGATACAGAGGTGAGCACAGCTGAGCACAGTAGCCTGCACCTGTAATCCCGCTAGTCAGGAAGTTGAGGCAGGAGGATGGAAAGTTCAAGGCCTGGATTGGTTTGCCAAAGTGTGTTCTGTTGATGAAAGGAAAACTGCAGATTCTGGAATAAAACTTTCCCCAACTATTCCAAAATTATAAGGATTTCATGTTGTACCTTATCCAACAGTGCCAGCAAGCAGGAGGATCTGAAGGTGACACAAAGCCTCTGCCAAACCTTCCATACTTCACATCTGCAGCTGAGAGCCACAGAACTCAAAGCAGCAGGGATTTTCTGGAGATCGAGAAAAACAATTACAAAAAACCTATTTCTTCTTTTGATTCAATAATTAATTTACACTGTTCCAAACTCCATACAGTTATACCCAATTTCTTTTCCTATATTTTTTTAAAGTAAAAAACTGTTTATTCTATTTTTATGATGAGGACAGATATCCAAACTGAAAGGTGAGATACATTCATTCAATTTGTATTTATCGCCCAGCGTGGTGATGCACACCTGTAGTCCCAGTGACTCTGGAGATTGAGGCAGGAGGACTATAATTTGAGTCCAGTCTCAGCAATTTAGTGAGTCCTTAAGCAAATTAGTAAGACTCTGTCTCAAATTTTAAAAATAAATAAATAAAAAGAGTAAGGGGTGTAGATCAATGGTAAAGTACCCCTGGGTTCAACCTCCTAGTACCCCCCCCCAAAAAAAAATCAAGTATTTATTGGCTAGTGCACTGGTGCACGCCTGTAATCTCAGTTAATTAGGAGACTGAGGCAGAAAGTTCAATGCCAGCCTCAACTACTTAGTGAGATAATGCCTTAAAATAAAAAATAAAAAGGGATGGGGATGTAACTCAGTGGTAGAGCACCCCTAAATTCAATCCCCAGTACCACACACACGTACATAAGTGGTTTCCACCACTTATTTATTTATTGTACTGGGGATTGAACCCTGGGGTACCAGAATACTCTAAACTGTTCACTTTTAAAGGCTGAGTTGTATAGTATGTGAGTTAGATCTCAAAATAAATAGCTAAGCTCTTGACACTCATTATCTTACTTCAGTCCTCACAATGGCCTCATGAGGTAAACACTGCTGCGATTCCCCCTGTACAGGTAAAGAAATTAAGGCAGAGAAGATTAAAATGACATCTTCAAAACTACACAATGAGTAAGTGAGCAGACTAGAATACAGGGAGACTGCCCCAAAGTCAACAAGCCTAAGTCTCGATCTCCTCTGCCCACCATAACACGTGCAAACACCCMGCACACTGCCTGCCATGTAGTTAGGGCTCAATGAATCATAGGTATTACTGAAATGATAATCCACCTTGCACACCCAAAAGGATCTGAGAAATATGGGAGGATGGAATCAGGGGGAGAGACAAGGACAAGAAATACCAACATATGTGTGTGTGTGTTTCCACTGTCATTTTTTCTAATCAATTAAAAAAATAAAGAAATACCAACTTAAAGCCTAATGCAATTGTTGAAACAAGCAATGGTGAGGAATTTACTAAGACAATGGCAGTGAAGGCAGGAAGGTGCAAGTGTCCTCTACATCGGGGTCAGTTACAACATTCAGATCTACAGGACTTTAACATAACTTAATGCATCAAGAAAAGCTATTTTCAAGGCTGGGGTTGCGGCTCAGTGGTAGACCACTTGCTAGCATGTGTAAGGCCCTGGGTTGAATCCTTAGCGCCACATAAAAATAAATAAAATAAAGGAATCATGGGGGCTGGGGTTGTGGCTCAAGCGGTAACACGCTCGCCTGGTGTGCGCGGGGCACTGGGTTCAATCCTCAGCACCAAATAAAAAATAAGATAAAGATGTTGGGTCCACCAAAAACTGAAAAATAAATATTAAAATAAATAAATAAATAAAGGAATCATGTTATTAAAAAAAGAAAGAGAGAGAGAGACTTATTTTCAGAATACTTGACAGTCACAGAAATGGGTAATACATTTCAGATTTTGTTTCAGTTGATTTTATAAGCTGAAACAGCAAGTTAGACTAATTCATGTAAGACATCCAAAAGTCCAATGGAAACACTTTAAAGATCTCTAAGAGTTAAATATCTATTATAGATTTAAGAATATTACATAATTTAAGATTCCCATTAAGTTCAATAACCTTTAAAAAGGTGGTTGGAAAAAACAATTACATATTTTAGGAACCATTAAGTTCGAAGGTCTTTGGAATGGAGAGCAAAGACATGTTCTTCTCTGAGTAAACTGAAGAATTAAGTCTAGAAGACCACCTGTTTTTAGAYAGACAGCATTAATTTAGAACTTACTGTGTCCCATCAGAGTTACTGAAATGAATCTCATTAGCCTCCTTAGCAAAAATTCCTGGATCAAAACTTTAGCTAATTGGAGCGGTCATTGTATTCTCTGGTGGATGAACATCTTTCGTAACTGGGAAAATTTAGAATTAAGTACTAAAACACTTAATAGCTATAGTTTACAAAATTCTCAATACAATTTACTCCTCAGTACAAAGGTACTGAGGAGCCTTTAGAAGGTTGTTAAGTCCTGGGGGTTGCCCTCATGGAGAGGCAGAATACCCTAATGAAAGGACTCAAGGACTCAGGAGTTAATTTGTCCCTTTTCATCCCTTCCCTCCCTTCTGCTATGTAAGGACACAGTATTCATCCTCTAGGAGAATGGAACAACAAGGTACCATTTTTGGAAGCAGAGAGCAGTCTTCACCTGACACAGATAGCACTGCCAAGGGCCTTGATCTTGAACTTCTGGGCATCCACAGCTGTTAAGTAATAAATTTCTCTTCCTTATAAATTACCTAGACTCAGGTATTTTATTGTAGCTGCACAAATGGACTAAGACAGGAAAGATCTAGAATTAAGTATAAAAACATTTAAAAGCATCAAAACCATAACTGGGAAAGCCTCATTGAGATATTTGTCCAAAGCAGGTAACAGAGTCTCATGTGGGTGTCTGAGTGAAAAGTATTTCAAGCAAATGGAATAGCAAATGCAAAGGCCCTGAGGTGAACAGGCAATAGGTGTTGAACATCAAAGGAGGGATGGGGAGAGCAATGGGAGATGGAGCCAGAAGGTGAGGGCAGATTATCAGAGGGTAGGACATGGTACAACCAGTTCCTGTAGGGCCTTAGAAACTATTAATGGGTCTTTGGCTTAGTATGCATAAGATGGGGAGCAAATACTCAGTTTTGAGCAGAGAAGTAACAAAAACTTCCTTCCAGAGTTCAAAAAATTTATATCAAACCCTTTAAACATTAACGTACAATTATGTCACTGAAAGCTTTAAACCTGCTAGAAACTGTTCTATCTATCTGGGGTGGCACAAACCTGTAACCAACTTGGGAGGCTGAGTCTGGAGGATTGCAACTTTAAGACCGGTCTAACAAACTGGCAAGACCTGCCTCAAAATAAAAATTTCAGGGCTGGGGCTGTAGCTAAGTGGCAGAGTACTTGTCTAGCATGTGTGAGGCACTGGGTTCGATCCTTAGCACCACATAAAAAGAAATAAAATAAAGGTATGCTGTTCATATACAACTGCAAAAAATAATTTTTTAATGAAAAATAAAAAATAGTGAAAAATTTAAAAAGGGACAGTGGTAAGAGTGCTTGCTTAGCATGTTGGAGGCCCACGGGTTCAATGCCCAGAATTGGGGGGAAAAAGTTTTATCTTAAAATAAGATTTGAATGATAAAGGTTTAGTTGAGGTTTTTAGAGCCTGGGGAGAATGCTCCTCGAAATGCACAGCACTAACAGGAGGCCTGGGGAGGCTCAGCTCCTGGCCTAGGGGTGAATCTCCACCCTTATTTCTTCCCCAAATAGAATAACCAATAGCCTGATTGGGTCGTTGTTTTATGTGAAATTAAATGTAGATTCCGTATATGTGAAAGCACTTCGTTTACTACATAAAGTTCTGCAAATATAAAGGTTTATTAGGAATAGAGGTGATATTGGCGCGTGTGGTTTGGAGCCCACTAGGTGTGAATCCAATTCCAAACACGTCTTGGAAAGGTGTGGAATATGGCCACTGGTACAAAGATAAATAAGCACATCTGAACGGGAAGGGGGCCAAACCGCTAATTTACAAAAGAGGCAGTCTCCCCAGGTGGGAGACGCGTGGGTTCGGTTCAGTCACGACACAAATACTCGGGGCTCTGTACTTGGGAGGTGTCGTGTTCTCCCTTCGGTTCTAAGCCCAGAACTGTCGTTTCATGATATAAAACCACAGAATGGAGGACGCACGGAGAAACTCGGGCTGCCGCCCTGGCAGCTGTCTCCCGGGGCAGCGCCCCGCCCGGCGGCCGCCCGTCGCTGCGCCGGCAGCCGGAGCCCGGCCGCCGCCGACCCTCCGAGTGTGCGGCGCCCGACGGCTCCAGACACGCCCGACACCGTCCCCCGCCGGCTTCACGMCGCCGCCGCCAGGAGGCTCCGCGCGCCTTCCCGCCTTTCCCCCGGGGCCGGGCCAGGCCGGGCCGAGCCGGGCGGCGGGGCGGGCGCGGGCGGCGACGGTGCGGCCATTGTCCCGCAGCCCCTCCCGGGCGCGCGGGCGGGGGCGACTCGGAGCCGGYGCCCGCCGCCCCTCGCGGGCCGGCCGGCCTCAGGCCGGGGCCGCCGCCGCCGCCCGCGCCTCCTTTGTGACGGTCCCCAGCCCTCGGAGCCGGCGCGCCACCGCCGCGCTGCGCCCCGGGCTGCAAATGGCGCCCGCTCGCCTCTTCGCCTCCCGCCGCTCTCGGGCCGGCGACGCCTGCGGGCGACGCGCCCGGGGCCGCGTCCCTGCGCCGCCCGCCGCAGCCGGCCGGGCCGTCCGAGCCCGCGCTGCCGCCGCCCGCGCCGCCGCCCGCAGCCAGGCTCGCGGGCCGGTCCGGCAGCCCCGACGCCCCGCCCGCCCTCCGCCCGCGCCGCGCGCAGCCACTTACCGCGGGCCGCGGCGCACCGGCCGGTCGCGCGCGCGGGCGGGGAAGGTTCCTGGTTCTCGGCGGGGGAAAGACCCCCTTCCGAAGCCGTTCCTTTGCGCCCTAAAACAAGTAGCCCCAACGTGAGAGAAACAAAAGGTATTTGCTGACGTGGGCGTTGGACAGAAACGCCCGAGGGCTGGGGACACAATTAAAGGGGCAACGCACAGATTTCAGGCACCAACCAGCAGCTTCGCCCACTCCCCCTGCCCTTGCCCACACCCCGCTGCACCCTCCAAAGGCTCTGGGGTGCCCAGATTCCCAGGCAATTGGCTGCGGATCATTATTTTAGACAAGAGCTTAATTTTAAAATTGTACTTTACGTTGGGAAAGGCGCCTCCGGAGGGCAGAAGGGCTGGATTTCTAGGATGTGGGGAAATTGGTTTAGGAAAGAGGGAGGGACTTAGGCGTGCCTACAATTACTGAATAAGTGCATGTGACATTATTGTGCTTAAGTTTAGTAAGAAATTTCCACAGAATTTTCCCCGTTTATTGAAGCAGTTATTTTTGTCGGGGCTAACCTGTTCTAAACCTCTACAGCTCATGAGCATTTCATTTGAACAGGAAAACCAGAGAGAGAGGCTGAGATAAAGAGAACATAATTCTTAATTAATTTAAAATTAGTAGCAACAACAGATTTTGTATTTCCAAATACAAAAATTCATTGTACATCAAGCTTCTCTTTTGACATGTCTCTAATATTTAGAGTACCAACATCAGGTACATTTGAAAATAGTAAATCACCAAATTTTCTTTTACACAAACAAAAATTCTATAAACTAAGTTTTTAGCTCCTTATGCTAGGGTCAGTTACTGAAAAGTACTGTATTTTAGTAAAACTAAAGAAAAAAAAAGATTCATTTTCAAAACCTACACTTAATTTTTTAATGGATTCCTCTCCCGGGTCTTTAGCCAGTCATGTTAGACAAAGTTTATTACTTTGGTTTCATCAATAATTAGCTGTGCACTTTGAATATCACACTCTGTGAGAAGGATACAAAATATTTGCACTGTCTTTTTCTGTCCCTTCTATATTATTCCAGAGGTGCTTTGCTATTCATTTGTTTCCTGGAATTCTGAATAGGTAAATGGAAATACGTTGAAAACCWCTAAGAATCAGTATCATTGAATGCGCTCAGCTGATCTG